GAATATACAACATAAAAGCTCTTTTAGGGCAGTTTATCCTCACAACTGAAACTGATCTTTCAGGTTTTTCTGTAAACAAGAGTACATTTTTACATACATTGATTGATAAATTGATTGATTGATTGATACATTTCCAGTTTTACCTACCAAACTATGGGACTGTTTGGAGGCAGATGAAGTTAAAGTTCAAAAGTACTGTGTTTGAATCTAACGGTTCATTTCTGGGATACCTTGATGCCAACAACAATGCCGCGGTCTTTGATGAGCTTGGCAAAACAAACGCCATCATCACTTTTCTGGTAGAGGGTCTCATGGAAGAAGATGACCCCTCCGATGCAGCTGTCGATGCGCTCGTCAGCGGTGAAGAGCAGCTGGCGGTAGCGACGCCTGTTCTCCTCCGTGTTCTCAACCCCGATGGGGTTCAGGCGTTTCGCCATGCTGCCTGAAATTGGCACGCAATGAAAAGTTACTTAGCTTTACCTCATATACCTGCACACAAACTCCTACAATGTTCTTAGTCTGACTGAACATACCGGTGGACTCATCGGCAGCTAGGATGCCTTTTCCTGGAGCCACTATCCTCTGAGCGATCTCCTGCAGCTCCTTCTTCTGCTCAGCAGTCAGTGCGGGGTACTGGTGAGTCATGGTGGCTGAAAGAGAAGGAGAGGACGACATTTTATCACCGTCTGACCACCCAGCTCTGGCCTCTTTCTCATGCCTTTCTATTATTTGGGAAACGGCTGACTTGCCACAGCAGTGAGCAGAAGGACTGGCTGAAGAATGACAAAACTCTAGCAAGATGCATCAGAAAAATACTGAATTTCTCACAATCCAGTGATGCAGCATGTGTGAGAGATGTGATAAACCCAAAGGCAGCAAGCTGCGTCCTGCTGGAAAGGAAATGCTACATCTTCTACACTTAAAAATTTGAATTTATCACACTTCCTAACAGACCATGCTTCTAGTGTGGGTCTGGTCAAAGTGAAACTGTTTGGTTGCAGCCATCATAAAAAAGGTTTCTAGATCACGCCCTTCTTCACTCGGCAGAAGTAAGTGGTTACGCAACTCCTACCCCCACCACGTGTATCTGAATCACAGACTGGGGAGGGATGAGGGGTTATAAAACAAACGCTTCACAGACTCAGCTGCTGGGCTTGATTTCAGCTGCAGGTCTGGATGCAGCACGGCTCTACCCTAGCAACACTCTTCCTGTTTTTCCCAGTTAACACTATTACAGCATTTTCATTCCTTACATCTATGTAGTTGATTTACTGATATTTATTTTAAAAGAATGTAGTGTGCTTCCACCATTTTAGCCTCTTGTCGGTCTATTGCTGCCAGTATGTAACTACAATTCTCTTCTGCACAGGTAATGCAAAGTAAATCCACGCAATGCTTGTAAATTTCCACACATCCAGAATATGCCTGAGGACACAGTCTGGCTGACTGCACCAACTGTTGAAGGCTTCACTGATTATTGGCTTGTTCACAGCTGCACAAGTGAAATGCTATGTGTTGCCACAATGGATCAGGGATGGATTAAATGGCCTGATAGAGGACCAGGAGTTTAGCTGCGGTGAGCTGCTGGAATGATGTTTGCTTAGAAAGAGCAGGGCCGAAATATTTCTGTCATAAAGAGCGAAAAAGTTACTTTTAATTTAGTATAATAATAAGACAAAACTAAGCTATTTGCATTAGAAACGAGACCAAATATACTTGGTGAGATGTTGTATTTTTGCAGTGTAACTAAGGCTGGGTTGCTGCTGTAGGACGCCGAGGGTCATATCCTCCGTTAATCCTCAGCTTTAAGCTATGGGATCAGGGCCTTGGGAGAACACAGACAGGCCTCTCTGCAGGGCGCCTCTGCTGCAAGAACAGTTCACTACTGTTTGCCAAATTCTGCAGGGAGGTGAACCCAAACAGGTTAGGACAGAGTGCTGTAATCTGACACTGTAGGGGAACTGTTAGTTCACCAGTCTGAAGTGAGTGCACAATCTCCAGTGCACTGAATGAAATTGATAATTCATTGAAATCACAAGACGTAGTGTGTGTATTTTAGGTGTTCTCTTAGCCAGACAAGGAGTCATGCCCAGCAGACTCTGGCTTATCTTTAGGAAGATGCCTGCGTGCTTCAACAATGCATTTTTTTTTTTACCAGTTTCAGTGTGTTCAGGTTTCCAGTCACCAAACATTGCAAAATGATTGGTGCCCTGTGTAATCTACATTTTTAAGCCAATAGTTACAAAAAAAGGAAAAAGAGTATTTGTTAAAAAAAAAAAAAAAAGTATTATGCAAGTTGAGAGTGAAGCTTTTTCACATTGATATGGTTGCAGGTGACATTTATATTGAGAGGAAAAGAAAACCTGGAGGGGATCATGTGTCAGAAACAGCACACCTTGGAGGCCAAACATGATCCGCCAAGAGCAGCAATGGGAACTGATGGGAAATGTTATTGATGCCTATTCTATTATTCATCTGGGTTGGTTTTCCAGCTCTTAATTGATTTTCAGATTTCTAAACATGTCTATATGTGGACTGCAAACAGAAGACCTCCACTAGATCTATTATCCAATCCCTCTTTAAAATACACTTTTCACCTCTGGTAGATATAACTCAGAAAAGAAAGTAATATTTCAGTCACTCATTCTTAGAAAAAAGCTGTCAGTGATGACACAAGTGACCATGCTCAGAGAAGCGTGAGCAGATCAGCTGGAAACTGTAGCATTTTTATGCAACGATTTTCCAAATATAGTTCAGACTTAAACCTCTTCCATGGGATCATGTCTTGGGTCAGAATTAAATTAAAACATAAAAATGTCACAGATTTGACCCCATCTTGGCTAATCCTTTCGGAAGCCTTGCTACTAATTAACACCAAATACAGAATATAATAATGCTTAAGAATAAAGAGCTGCTTCTTTTAGCTCCTACTGGTTGTAGATGCTATTACTATTGATTAACAGAGTGAAAATCTGGATGGTCTCTCAGACACCAGTGATTATTTAACAGCCATGTATGGATCACATCATTCCTCTCCTGGTTTATCCTGTGCTATAAGTCGCCACAAGGCATCTAAAAATATATTTTATATGGTTTCCTACTTTCATTACAAATATGTTCCCATTTATTTCTGGATATTGATGACAAAAATAAGTGCAATTCAATATAACACCACTAGTTTGCCTGCTGTAATACCAATGTAGGTAAGGTTGCAGGAGACACGGATGTTTTCTGTTTAGCATCTGCTCCTATATTGCCTCTAGGGAACACTCAGTGCATTTGGGGAATATGAAAGGAAAATATAAAGATTGTCTTTGTTCCACAGACACTTACTGTGTGCAGTGAAACTTAGACTACAGATTTGGTTAACTAAAGTGTCACAATCACCGGAGATGACTGCTGAGCCCAGCGATGGTGTCCAGGCAAAAACAAAACATCTCCTAAAATGGAACTGGCTTTGGTGGAGCCAGCAGCCAAAGACGCAACAAGGTCCCTGTGAGACATCAAACCTTTTAAACGTAGTCTTCAAAGCGCATGTTACATGACAACAACCTGTAACCCGACTTGACATTTTGATTACACAAACTTCAAACATGGTCGTGGTTCCTGTAAGTACGGTTTGAGGAAGTGAGGAAGTGTCAAAGGAAGAGAAATATTCATCAAAGTTGTTTAACTGTTCTGAGATGTGCTTTATAATAAAATGTTTTCTTAATTAAAAAACAAAAAAGGGGGGGAAACAATTTGCAGATGGCATCTTTTGAGAGAGAAGCTGAGATTATTTTGTCAGAAGCTTGACTTTCTCAGTCACGCCTCAGATTTTCACTTCTGTCTGTTGCACAGTGGTTTTCCTCTACCAGGCAAACACCATGTCTGCATTGCGACATCAAGATACGTGGCCAACTCCCTGCTGCGTCACATGGAATCCCTTCAGAAATGAACAGGTAATGCCAGTTTGATCACAGAATACTATGGCAGTTATATATAATGTGTGCATTACAACAAAGATCCCCGCATGATTTAGGTAATTCACATTATTGACCCAAAATCTCTGTTGTACTATTCAGAGTTAACAAGTTCAAAATAACTAATTTAATTGGGCACGATTAAAACTTAACTACAGTAGGACCCACTAGTATTTATTACTTCCTGACTCTGAGTCATGACGTGTCTGATGCAACCATTTTCACCCAGCTAAGAACAGAGCAGAATGTAGCCAGAAATCAGGAAATACTTAAACATCATTGCCAACAGATACAGTAAACAAGTTACAGCTAGTCTGTTGTGAAGTATTACTGCAAGCTTTTAACTACAAAACACTTCAGGCCTGCAAACTATGAAGCCCAGCATTTATAAAGGCTATAAGCAGGGTTTTAACAGGCTTCTATCAACCGAATCAGGCTGGAACTGCACATATTAACATTTTAATTAAACAAGCCGGGAGAGGATGGCACAGTTAAAGGAAAACGGGATCTATGTTTTGCTCCACTGTCTGCATCATTACTGCCCCCCTGGAGATTTACCCAGCTTGTTGATGTCTCCAGGTTGCAAGCTATAGAGCTGAAAATGGCTCCTGCAGAGCAGCACTAGTCGGATTGCAAATTTTTTTTTAAAAAGCCTGCTTGCTTGTGTTTTTACCAGACAGGTTGCTGGCCTTGGAGCTGATGCACGTTCCTGTATTTGGGCTGTTTCTATCTTCAGACTTTGATCCAGCAGCACTAGCCGGAGCACTGCCCATTGCCCACTGATACAGGAGCCTACAGCAGATGTGACGGCTGTGATGCATGGTGCGGTTCAAAGAGAAGTTGACAGTTGTGAAAATGTGCAGGTTACACAACAGCAACATTTTCATGTTAAACACAGGAGACATAAGGTTGCTGTATATAATGTTATACGATTTCTAGAAACAAGGAACCGGATTATTTTAGGGATTGGGACTAACATAGAAAAGAACCAACAAGTAGGAGAGCTGGGTGTTGCTTAGCAACAAAAGGGGCAGTATAAAATTGTAAAAAAGTGTAAAAAAATAAAATGTATATATAATTTAAAAAAGGACTTCAAAATCGACTAAAAGATACTTGATTTTTCTTGTTGGCCTTCTATCCCATCCACATTTATGTATTTTCGGTTATTTTGGCGTGTCTCCTATGCCCGCCCCGCCATCGTCACATCAGAGGTCTACGTGCGCTTGAACAGATACACTCAGACAGGAAACGACTTCATCATCACCCTCCCCCATCATCCTCCACTGCTGCTAACCACGTTTTAATTCAAAATGTGTCATCGACCTGAACACGTTTCAAACTGCAGACCTACGGTACGTTAACTTAACTAACCGAAAAACCAGGTCCGTCACCTTCACTTCCATCCTTGAAGGTCAACGTTTGTAGGCCCTTCCTGTTGTGTGGTTCGTTGATCCTTAAAATGCGCAGCTTTCATATACTGTCAAATAAGCTTAAGAGCTCTACGCTGTTTTTAGAAGCCAACACGCAAAATAAGGGACATACGTCATAATAACAGTAGGAACAATTTGTGGCTAGCAAGCTAGGAGGACAAAGTTAGCTTGAGGTTGAGTAGCGCAGCATCACATTCCCATCAGCATCAACTCGGCCGTCAAAGTTACAGCGGTCCGATATGAAAATGTTACAATGTACAGCAGTCACAAATGGTAGTTCAGATTTGATTATTACCTGTTTGTTGATGTCTTCAGATGATAGAGCAGGTGAGCTGTAAGTGAGAGATGCGGAGCCGTCTCCTGTTTAACTGCTGCAACGCAACGTGACCCTTTACAAAGCCTCTCGAGCTGAGGGAGGAGCCAACACCCCTGCGTCATGTGATGGAGTGAAACTGCGTCTTTCGAGCATGCGCCGGAGAACATCCTCCATCTGAAAAGAGAGCAACGCGAATGCAGCATGATTCTGCAACTTTTCCAGACTGGCTGCTTAATTTTAATATGAAACAAACAAGCAAGCGGACTTCTAATAAAACACACGTCACCTTAAGAAAGTAGTTTAATTAAAAGCAGAAAATATGTCCAAATATTCCCAGATTACTACTGAATGCTGAATGATAAGAAACAGCGCTATTAAAAGTAATGAAGCCAAGGGACAATCTCACGTAATTTACGACGTCCCAATTCTCGAATTGTTTCATATTTTATCACATTTACAGTCATGAATTTCAATGTTTTGTTGGGATTTTATGAGCTCACTTAACACCTAGTTAGGATGGCAGACAATACTCGTGCAATCTACAAACCTGGGCTTTACAGGAAAGTAGCCAGAAGAAAGTCATTGTTGAAAGAACATGATGAAGTCCAGAGTAAAGTTTACCAAAATTGCCATTTATGCAGGGGACAGAGGAACATATTAATTAAGATCTCCAAGAGGTGTCAAACTTCTGTCGTCATGGACCATTTTGTGCAGTGATGTGTCTCTGACCCAATGCATCTGAATCAAATGTCTGAATTGCCTCTTCTGGTAATTGAGGTTCTCCAGATTCTTTCGAATAATCTTAATTGAGGTCTGCTGGAATAGAAACAAATTTAAAATTTACAGGACACTGGCCCATGAGAACTGTTGACACATGTGGATCAGACTGTAATATAAACATTTTTATCCTAAATGCAAAAAAGCTATGTGTAGAGAACTAACAGCACGCCTGAACAGAGTGATACATGGTGGTGGCAGCGGCATAAGGTGGCAATGATCATCCAGAGCGGAGACATGGAAACTAGACATCAATACTGGGAAACAAAATCTTGACTTCAAAAAACCTTGAAATGGGGCTGAAGTTCACATTGCAGGAGGACACAAAACAAATTGAATATTGACAATTTATGGCAGGACTGAAAAACTACTGTTTACCGACACTTTCAACATTAAAGGTTTAGATACTTTTGCAAGCAATGTTTTTTTTTTCTTCATTTTCATTTGAGATCAACAACAAATTTAATAAATAACGGTTGGGAATTGCACTTGTTTACCAGAGAGTTGTATCCCCTCTTGTTGATGCACTCAGTGAAAACTGTTGTTGCGCTCAGTTTGTTCCTAGAGGCCTCTTGCATACAAATTCTGGCACACGCGGTTGATACATGCCTGTTTTTGTAGCTGTGGCCAAGGCTCAATTCACTCTCTAGTTTCTCCATTTACAGATCAGACATACACTGTAAAATCTACTGGGTGGCTTATTTAACTCACAATTGGGTTCTCCAGTTTCAGCAGGGAACCTGTGGACTTCAAGCTGCTGCTGCTGCTGTTGGCATCTTGTCTTTAAAGCCTCTTAGTTGGTGTTATTGCTAATAGGTAAAGTTATTTTTGGTGTGGGCCTGCATATGTAGAGTACAGTAAACAATGGCTCCACAAGCTTAAAGGTCATTACAGCAGAGCCAATGTAGCAAGTCGAAGCTCTGTTGTCCATCTTTGTCATGAATTACACTTTCTGTATGCAGCTTTTTGACATCTCTTCCCTTTCATGAATCTTTACCATTTACTTTTTGTAAGCACAGGTGAATGAAAGCCAACTACGTTCAACAACTGGAAATGGGATGAGGAATTAATTATGTTGGATGAATCTTGTTCTCCTTCTGAACTGTGAATGACTGAAGAAGCCTCTTTAATTGGAACATAATTCCCACAGAGGAAAGCCCACCTACATCACCTTACATTACTACCATTTGTATTTTCACATTCTGTCACAGACTTCAGTGTTTATTGAGATTTTATGTAATCAACAAACAGATAATAATTTATTATTTTATTATCAAGTGTGTAGAAAAGAGTGAGGTGGGAAACTAACACTGCACATCACCTTGAACTCACCATGACAACTGCGAAATGAGGCAACAGCGTCATGCCTTGGGGATGTTTTTCTTCAGGGACAGGGACGCTTGCACAGCTGGATGATGGAAAGATAAAAGTTGCAAAATACAAGTTGACCACTGAAGAAAACTTATAGTTGGCTGCACAAGACTTAAAACTGGCTGCATGATTCTTGTAGTCCTGCTGCAAGCCAGGCAACAATGGAGGGATCTAGATCAAAAGTTTATTCAGACAATAGCTGCCACAACAAAGTCCTGGCTTGCATCCAATTGAGAATCTGTAAAAGTACTTTAAAAATGATGGTTACCAAAAAGTTTCCTTGGAAAAGAATGGGCCAAAAAATAAAGTCCAGATGTGCATCCTCAATGGTGCTGAAGACAAAAGCCCACCTCACTTTTCAGAATTGTATTTTTCAATTTAAAAAACAGGGGTCTTTTTTCTTCCACATCATGATGCCACATGGTGTCAGTTTCCACACAAAAGCCCAATAATATACATGTTATTGGTTTGTGACTGAACTGTGACACACCAGTGTTGTGTCTTTATTTTGGCTGTCAGCAAGGATCTTCTATTAATGGAGTGTTTTGTTTCAAGACAAACTGTTATGTAGCCAAAACACTGGTTTGGCTTTTATACGCATTGAAACATTAAATACATATGTTATTTAAAAAAGAAAGTATGTTAAATATATACTGAATCAAATTTAATTGTCAGTAATAGGAGCAGCAAAAAATATTTTTCATCTTTAATGAGTGAATTTGAAATATTAAATTTAATGGATTAAATCTAAAGAAATCGCTCTCTCCAAGTGTAGACCACCATCTGCTTACTTTAGGGTTTTAAGTGTCAATCTGTGAGTAAGGTATGTTGAGTAACTCAACTAAGTAAATGCACAGTGTGATTTCTTAACTGAGCAAGGATATTCTGCAATAATCTGACACAATGTTGGGGTGAGTTAGGCAATACACGTCCGTGCACCCAAAATCATTTCATCACAATAAAAAGACAAAAGAAAAATCAGCAGAACTCTTTTAATATTCTGTTTGTGCTACAAGGTAACTGCAAAAAGACATCATAACACATGAGGAAATACTCTCCAAAAATGTTTATATAAACTTTATAAAGAGGAATATGCTTATATATTTATAAGTATGTACACAAGCGTTTTGTGATCAAGAAGGTAAACTCAGAGTTGTGCGTGTGAAGCAAATCTGGGTAAATATGCATCATTTATAAAATCATAATATATCTAAATATCTGTTTAGTGAGGAAAAAACAATAGAAAATAGCCTTCATATTTATAAAAATATTATAAAGTTCAAAGAGAAGTTTAGAGCATACTCAAATCACTGTTTAATATCTGACTTTATGTGAAAAATGAAGCTAAGTAGTAAAACCAGCAAGTGCGCCCCTGAGTCACCGGTTGTAGAAAATAAACACAGAGTTGCGTGCGTGCTCATCAGACTCTAAGGCTGTTGCTTGCTTCACTCTGACATCAGGGGAGAAGTTCCTGCTGCAACCAATTCTGCAGGCAGGACAACAAAGGTAAGGAGGGGGAACGCATGACAGAGTTTATTTTCATGATGACACAGCATGATGGATGAAGGCAATGGTTTGAACATCCTCTCTCCTTTCTTAAGGGTTTTGGTTGGGTTCCACTATAAATACGGTTAAATGGTTAAACAAATACAACATAGTTAGAGCTATTAGCCTACCTTTTCAATTTAGTATTAAATTATCTTCGGTATTCAATGTTTTGCCAGCCGAACCATGAAGAGACTCTGGACGTTTTACTAACTGGGTAATGGCACAAAACCACTGAACAACTGCTACTAAAAAGACAGTAAACATTAAAAGGTGAACATGTAAAATAAAATTACATAAAAAAGTACAATGTTATTTCAGTGCCTTGCAAAAAATACTCTTCAGACTTGAATTAGTCACATTATATCATGTTATAACCACAAATATTAATTTATGAGTAGAATTGAGACAAAGCAACGCAAAGTAAAGCTTAACTGCAAAGTAGAAGGACAATTATTCATTTTTTCTGCAGTATACACAGAATTCACATGGTATACACATGGATACAGTTTATGTTAAAATGAGGACTCAATTGTTGTTCTGATCTTAGTTTCTATCTGTTGAAGCTGCTAAGACATTTGAAGGTGACAAAAATATTGTCAGTGGTTTTAT